CCTTAGGTAGAAATTAATTAGCTATCGTAACTATGCTATGAGTTAGCATAGATCTTAATGGGGATTTCCATTACTATGTTCTTTTTTCCCCAGAAAATAAGCAATCTTGATGAGACACAAGGGCCAAAACCTCAGCTGCTGAAAGTTGGTGCACTGAATTCAGTAGAGCTGCATACATTGAACCATTAAAGTCAGTGGGCTTTGGATCAAGACCCATCTGAGGGTCTCACTGTCCTATGAAGATCAACCATTTTCAAATTCACTTACTATAAACATTATACTCTGTATAATATCTATAATATAATATATAATATTGTATTATAGAAAAGCCAAATTTTATGGGGTGCAAAAATAGAAAAGTTTAAGAAAGACACTCCAAGATACACACGCATCATTCAAAAACACCAAGCAGCAGAACAAACTGAACACAAACTGTGGATCTAGGAAAAAGAATGTCATTCATGACTCTAAATACATTAGCAAAAGAAGCAAAGGGAAAAGACATGCCAAATGTATATGTAACTGATAAAAAGGGTTAGAATTGATGGTGGAGTTCAACCCTTACAGCATCATCTGCTACCAGTACACATGTGCATGTGTGACGTACTCAGTACATGTATGAGTAAATGCATGTATCTACACATTAATGGATATATGTACATACACATACATACATACATATATACATACACACAAATGTACATTTTATCTCTAGGCATTTCTATGGTACTTATCACAATTATACTTAGAGGAAGATGAGAGTTTGCACAGCTGTTTTGAATGGAAGCTTTTTTTACATAATTTTTCATTATAAGTGGTTTCATTTTCAATGAAGCATATAAAGCGGAAATCCAAATTTAGACAAGTAAAAGGAACTAAAGACAAGAAAGACAATGCAATGCAATGGTTGCATCTCCCAATACAGAACTGATGATACAGCAGTATTAAAAAAAACAACCAAACCTGAGCAGCATACTAATTACTTCCTCACATGCACACAAGGTTATTTGGGTCTGACTTGGCCTTAGTCCAACATGTCTACAACCTATACCCCTTTCTCACGTACATACCATTGAAATTTAACTACTTAAAAATCCAAACCAATAAAAGGAAATAATGTTGATATTTAAATAATCATTATTGACCTCAAGCATGTTAAGCTCTATGAATGATTGGATATTAAGCTCTATTGGGCAAATATGAATGATTGAAAGCTGTCTTGGTTTAGCTGCTAGTTAGTGACTTTCTCTCCATTTTTCTTCCCTAAAAGATTATTATCTGGAAATGATCAAAAGTATAGCAGTATAGTGTTACCTTATGCTATCCTAGAGGTGCTTGCACTTCTCTTATGATAATGGACTGGTTGTAAAAATGATCAAAGATCCCAGAATGAAAAGTATTTCCTGTCCCATTCCCATATTTATTTACTTGTTCATTGTAACATGATTGTTTTCTGGAAACAAAACCTTAAAGCATAGTCATGTAAATACTCATTAAGAAACTAATTAAATCATACTATAAGTATGATAGCTAATTAATTCCTACCTAAGGAAATGATAGTTAATTAACTCAGAATTTGTCTGGAATACATATAAAATCAAATTTATCAAACTAAGAAAAAAATCTTTCTATTACCAGTTCTTAGTAAAACCACAATAAAAACCTGGAATAGAACAGCTGTGGCATCATACTGCACTATTGCACAAAAGCACTCAGGTATACAGTACATTAGCAAATAGCTATGTTTATTTAACTGCAATAAATATTTCACTTATGAATAATATTTGGATTGTATAATTTCTAGTCACTTTCAGTAACATTTTGTCAATCGCCATGGTAGCATTGCCTTATAACCTTAGCTGAGAGGGTATCACAAGCTGTTTGCTCAATGGATCACTTGGCAGCAAACACTGTCTGAGCAGTTCAGCTGGTTTCCTTCCCTGGAGATGAAGTAAACAACCTCCCTGACATCCCTAGTCTGACGAGTGAGACTTTAATTCATTCCTAAACACAAGTTACCTGCTTGTCATGGGGCAGAGAGCCTCCAAATTGCCAACTTGCCATAATAGGGCCAAATTGGGATCATATTACACAAATGGTTGCATTGAAGTTAACAAGATAATTTGTGTGAATAAATAGATCAAAGCTGAACTCATAATATGGTATTTTTTCACATATTCCCCCTGCATATAATATGCACCTTGTTCTGGAAGGAGAGCCTGAAGAAAAAGAGATCTTCCTTTCCAGTTAGTGAGTAGAAGGAGCTTGGAAACCAAGCCTGCTCCCATGCTTGCTGCCAGGGCACACAGTGGACAGGGCCTGTGGACTGGGGCTGTGGTGAATCCAACCCCGTGTGCTGGCTCTGGTGAGCCAAGTCCAGGGCTCCACATCATGACTGAGGCTGAAGGCTGGCTCTGGGATCACGTATTGAGTCTCTCCTGGCTCACTGAGTCCAGGACTGCACACTGGATCTGGGGCCATCTGTTGACCGCATGCCAGTTCAGACCTGGTGCACTGGCCCCAGGGCCATGAGCTGGGTCCAACCCCATGCATTGGATTTGGGGCCTTGTGCTGGCTCTGTGGCCACATGATGGGTTAGACCCAGTGTGCCAGATCCGGGGCTGCATACTGAGTCAAGCTAAGGACCAACCCTGCATGTTAGCCTGATCAAGCACATATCATCTAGCCAAGGGGCTCCCTATGGGTCTGGAAATTCGGCAGCGGGGGAGCAGTGGCAGCATTAATTGCTGTGCCTCCCCAATACCAATTTTCCTTTTATTCACGGGCATCCCTTTTACCAGCTGGTTTGGGGGGGGGGAGGGGGGGAGGGGGGGGAAGGTGAGGGTCATATACAAGAACATATGGTATTTTACTGTCTGATGTCTGTTTCTTATAAAAACAATGGTGACAAGAAATGTTTAAGACTTGTGTGCACAGCCAAAAATAAAAATGGGCAAGCAGGTAAGCAAACATAATACTCCAGGCAGTGTTCTTGTAAGAGATCAGTGCCTAAGCTGAGTTATAATTCCTTGGTAAGTGAATAGGAAACCCCAAAAGAGAAACTGAGAGGTGGAAACAAGCTACAAATTAAGTATGGAGAGCGGAGACCCATTGGTGCTTTTCTTCTTTCAGTCAGCACTAAACCAATGCTATGGCATAAAGTTAGCACCCTTGTCTGGTTAGAGGAGAAAGACTAAGTTAAGATTTATACAGTAGAATACCTATAGTACTAAGGTCATTTTTGTAAGGCTGAGAGTCCTGCTATCAATGGGACTCTTAGTCCCAGCTGTACCACACAAACCCAGACCAAAAATCCCTCTCAGTCCTGGCTGCACATGTGGCTGAGCCAGGACTGAGAGGCCTGTCAGCTGTGAGGATTCTCTTCCCTCATTGAAGGCATGGTTCAGCCCTTCAGGTACTGGACTCTCAGTTCTGGCTGCGTATGGTCCCCATGGTTGGGAGCCATGTCTGGGAGCCCCATCAGCAAATCCCATCAGACTTGGGCTCCCCTTGCATCAGCAATAAGGAGCAATTGGATTTAATGCATGATCCAACAATCATGCCTCCCGCTGTGCATGTGTGGCTTGGCAGGAGGCACCATTGTGTAGATCGTGCATTAGATCCAATCGCACCTTTACCTGCACGTGTAGAGGGGGCCAAAGTCTACCGTCTTAAGGGTTAGAGCCAATTTCTATTGAAATCAGCAGGAGATACTGCCATTGAGTCTGAAAGAAACAGAGTTCTAGCTCTTTAGGATTGAAGGAGGAGTAACCCACATCTAATTGCAAAAGGTGGGCCAGGGTGCAACAAAGAATGCAAGATTTATGGGGCCAGGAAAGAAACCAAAAAGAATCCTGGCTCTGTAACTTAGTAGTTAGGGCACCCAGCTGGGAGAGGAGACTCCTGGAGCCCTCTCAGGTTCTTTTCAGTTTTAGCCAATGACTGTTAACGTAAAATGCAAGAAGAATCCAGATATCAGGGCCTGGAACTCCATCCTCCCCACCTCACACCTTAGTTTCCTGATCTTTAAGCTACCTCTCTCACCGACTCTTTTTCAATTTCTCACCTTCTATTCCCATGAATGTCTAATTATTTTCTGACCAACAGCCAGCTTCAGTAACTGGGTGGGAATACTCCCATCCAACCTAGCCTAGCCTATACCCTGATAATTAAGGGTGCCTATACATGAGCATGGAAGCTGTTCCAATGCGCTGTAATTACAGCACATCAGAGCAGACGCAATTAATTGTGTCTGTTAAAGCGTGTTAATTACTGTGCTCTAGCAGCCTCCTGTGTCTCGTGTATCAGTGTCTGTGCACTTCAAAATGGCAGCAGGGGTGCTTGAACTAAAGCTCATTGAATGAGCTTTAGTTCAAGTGCCTCCATTGCCATTTTGAAATGCAAGGATGCTGATAGCACAAGATGCTGTGGAGCTTTAATTAGAGCCGCTCTCGGAGCCATTCTAATTAAAATACTGCCTCCACCAGTCCCACAGCACATGTAAAAATGCCCTAAGCCATTGTCTGGGGTGTAGGAAATGTAACCTTGAAATTCCTTAGGCTGAAAAGGGTCCGAAAGCCTGGTTTTCTTGGCCAAGTGCTCTAACAATTGTGTCATTATATAAGATGGGTAGTGCTAATTCCAGCACCTACATTTTTTAATCTAGCTACAGAATGGCAGTGTGCTTCTACCAACCTCAGGGATGGAGGGTGTGAAGATCACTCCTCAGCCATATATATCCCCTGTAGTCAGCATTGAGCCATGACTGGAAAAAAAAATTCTTCATTCTGCCTTCCCAAAACCAGGTGTGTGTCTTATTTGGGGCATGTGGCTTGTGAGAAAATACAGTGTTTAGTCCAGTTAAAAATCAATGGAATTATTCATGTTCTTAAAAGTCAAACACACACTGGAGCACTGGTCCCAAATATGAATACTGTAATTTTTATCACCTGCTTATGTGCTTTTCTGAATCAAAGTCCTACCTGGAAATGATAACTTACCCTGAGTTTAGAATAGTTTTACAGGAGAGGAAGTCCAGCTCTTGGGTTAAGTCATTGACATAGGATTTGAAAGTTAGAGTGGGGGTGAGGGAACAGCACATCTTCTCAGCTCTGCACAAGGCTTGGTTGAACTTGCTTGAAGCTCATTTCTATCTCATTCCTCGATCAAACCTCCACCTGTAGTTTAACACCAAAGAAAAGCCAATAAATAACCATACTGCTACAACTGCATTCATGTACAGGAAGTACTGGACAGGTTTTAGTTTTCTTGCTATCAAATGTCCCCCTGCCCCAGCATCAGGAAGCTCCCAGCCCCAGCTCCCTGATCGGGGCAGGGGACTTGGAAAGAGCTGCAGGGTTGGGGCAGGTCCCATCCTCCTGCCCTGATCTGCTGGTGGGGGACTCACTACTAGCTGTCCCACAAGTGGACAGAGCAGGGGGCTGGGACCTACCCCACCCCTGCATCTCTTTCCAAGCCCTGCACCTCACTTGCCCAATCAGGGTGCAGAGCTGGGATGTGTCCCTGACCAGGAGAGTTCCCAGCCCCCACTGCCCACAGGGGACAGTACTATTTTATGGTGGAGCAATTAACTGAAATTAAAACACACCTGTAGATGCTGACTGCAGGCATAAATTGTGTCCCGTCAACCCAGTCAGCAGGGGGCCAGACTCCCACTTGCCACCTAACCAAACAGCTCCACATTTTCAAAGCCCTCATTCTTCTGCCCATAGCTGGAGCTCAAGGCAGAGTAAGGCAGGTGCAGCCCTGGTGTGAATTGCTCTGCCCCAACTCAAATTACTGCTATCCTGGGCACATATGTAGATGCTGTGCCCAGGAGCAATTTACTCCAACTCAAACTACTCCAGAGTTTATTGCTTTGAATTAATTGCATGTGTAGATCTTAGTGCTGGATTTAAGTGGTAAAATAACAAAATTGACTGGTAAAAATTGCCTCATAATCTCAGCTCTTCATAATTCTCCAGTGAATGAGTTTATATTTGGGCTATCTCATTACACTTCAGAATGTAGCACTATGCAACTGAGGCACAGCAATGGTTGCAAAATATACCCATGATGGTACTAGATAATAAGGTATGGCATGCCCCATCAACTTAAAGAAATCACTATTAGATACAGTAGACTAGAGACAGAAATCCCTGCCATCGTTTTTGCTATAGACTAACTAGATTCATATAGTGAAATTCCCTTATGCTCTCAACGCTTGTCTCCAAGATTTAATATTTTGTTCTAGATTTGGAACACGTGGAGAGCTTTATTTTCCCCCAGCACAGCTGTAGTATCAGTGTATGACCTGGACAAAAAAATGATGACACACACTGAATGAGACTAAAAATTTGACAGCTGTTCCTTTAGAACCCCTGCAGGTGAAACAAAGCTTAGCATGTCTTTTCTTTTTTCACCCTAGCACGGAATAGACAAATCATTGTTACTATCTCAACCTTCTGGGTCCTCTTATTTCTAAAATAAACTTGCAGGTGGATCACATTAAGAGTGCAATGCAAATGCTGTTCAAGTTTTCTGGTTAACACAAGCAAATCAGGGGGCAGTGACTTTATTTTTCATTTAATGTGCCCAAATACATTTTAAAAAATGGGAATGTTGGGCTAAGCTCACCAACAATCTTGCAGCACAGATATCTTGGCTTTTCTATTTCAGATTTAATTACCACATGTACAGCAGGTGTTGCTCACTTACTGGAGAAAAACAGTGATAATATTCTGCACAGCAGATGGCCCCCTCTTAACTTTACTGCAGGCATACAACCTACTTTACTGAGTAGGTTCGGCATCTCTCTAATTGCTGTTTCAAATCCTATTCCAAGATTATTTTCCATAACAATTTATGCAGTAGCAATGACAGAAAAAATTGGATTGACACATACAGAAACATCTCAACCTTTTTTTCTTTTTCTGTTATTTCTCCTGCTTTTATTTTCTTTGGTTTTTGTTTCCTCAGAGACAGCGTTATCACTAAAATAGCACACAAAATGCTGCTATAAGCATTGTCCAGACCTAGTACCCATGTGGTAGATCTGAAAATTTCTACTTTTGGGAGATATTTTAGTGTCTGTTACTACTCTGAATATGGCTTCTAGACCCGTGCACTTTGGTTATTTTCATAGATCAAGGCCTATTCTTATTCTCTAGTTAGGATAGTCTGTAACTTCCTCATTTGGATATAGCAGCTGATACGGATACAGCTGCCAGAAACAAAGAAGTAGCCTCAAATTTTGTATGCTGAAATTAGACAACATAACAGAGCTTGATTTGGGGAGGGTAGGAGCTCATTAATTTTATATAATCAAGATCCTTTTTATAGCATCTCAAGTTGGACAACCAAAAATCAAAGTGTTATAGAGCTACTGAATTTTTCCTAGTGGAACCAGTCTGTTGTAATTTCCCCCAGACCTTGTGCTTTTAAGCCTGCTGGATCTGGATCAAATCCAGTCACTATTTTTTGTTCTAACCTCTAATGCACCACAGCCTGGATGAGGAGCCAGGAATGGGAAAGCAACAGGACTGGGACTGAGACAGGTCTTTTTTTTTTCTTTTTTTTTTTTTTAACACACAGGGGACTGTGGGCCCCTAACAGAAACCGCTAGCTGCCTGTGTTGTTAGAAAGGGCTATTAAGTATACAACAACTGAATATTTGGGGCAGCCAAAGTACAAGCAAAGATGGGATGGGACAGGGACAAGTTAGGGCAGAAAGAGTCATACTTGGGAGAGGGAATAGGCAGAGGAGCCTGTACCCACCACAGCACGCTTCCCTACAAATCCAAAAAGGGAGCCCAAGCTACCTGAGTCTCACCATACTTCCACTGTGAGCACATATTTGTAAAGTCCACTGGCAAAGTGTTCCCCATTTCTGACCCTTTACCCCTCACCAATGCTGGTTCTCACAGAAGATAACAACATGCTGTTGTTATTACTTACTCCACAGGAAACATATGGAAAAGTCCAGTGATAAGAGTTGCTCCTTTTCACAAACTGAAGGAATTACACATGTGCACATGCACACACAAATACACACACACACACACACACACACACAAAATCTATGTTTAAAGAATAGAATTCAAGGGAAACGAGTGAAAGCTGGGAAATGATAGAATTGAAGTTGTTTCAGCAATTGTTGTGTATATACCATATAGCAGTATTTAATTCCATGCTTACACATGAATTTTTTCATGGAGCCCCTGACTCTTTCAAAGTGCAGGATGTGGGGATTAATCCAGGTTATGTAGCAGAGGAGATTCATTTTATTGCAGGAGTTGGACAGTATATGAGGCAAAGGGTGGCAGAAAAAAAAGACACTCACAGCTAAAGAAATGAATGAATTCTGGCCTGCAAAAATGCAATCTATCCCTGCCTCTGTCACCAAATTCCTGTACAATATTAACTCACTTACACAGAAACTTTCATAGGTGGTCATTAATTATATGACCACCTTGGTTTCTCCTTGGTTTCTGGATGTCAGATTTGATACCCTAAATTTTGATTTACAGAAGCGCTGAGCACTCACAACTGTAATGGAAATCACCTGGAATACTGTTTTGCTGTATAAAGTGATATGTAATGCTACCTATTCTGAAACACCAGGTCCTAGGACTCTCAAATCAGACCTCTAAAGTTAATGGAAATGTTTATCTTAGTTTCCCTATGTTTCAGATCTTCATCAGTAAAATGGGGATAATAATGTGCCCTCATCCAAGGGGGATCTAGAGGATGCACAGTGACATAGGCACACCCGCTTTTCAGTCGATAGCATGGAAACAGCAGTCAGGGACTTTTTTTAAATTCCCAAAAGGAAGAATCCTGCCCCCCTATCCCCTTCATGGCACATCTCATCCCCTTCCCTGCTCCCCACTTCTGCTGTCCCTGCTGACCTGGGGGTGGGGACTCCACAGTCACTCCTACTTCGGTCAGGGCCCATGCCTGAAGGACTGAGGAACAAAAGCAGTGGCAGGTGGGGTTGGGGAGGGAAGGGTGGGGAGGAGGGGATCTGCCACTCAGTGCACAGGGGAAAGGAGGGGTGGCAGAAGGTGGATGCAAGGGGGACTTAAAAAATCCTCCTGCTGTGGGGTCTGCCTACCTGGTTGAGGGGACAAGCTGGGTGCCGTCCCCTACAGTGCCGGTGGCTTCTCCTGTACCCTACTTTACAAACTCCTAGATCTACCCATGCTCTCATCTCATAGCAATGCTGTGAAAATAAACTCATTAATATTTGTAAAGCACAGATGCTGTTGTGATGAGCATCATAGAAAAGCTCAGGAGGAAATTAATAATTTTATCTTTTGAGCAGGACTTGAATAGTGGTCAGTAAGGCAGGCATGGAGCCACATACTGAACAACAGTTGAATAACAGCTTATTAAGTGAGGACTATCTATCCTTTGCACTGAATAATACAAAGGTACAAAAGAATAAATAGTATGTCATCATTTAATTAGAGACTGTATCATAATGCATAACCACAAAAAGGATGAATTATGGTTGCACAGGCAACTTCTGAGTGCTTGACTTTGCCACCTTAGTAACACATGCTTTTTCTGTGTAATTTTTAGTGTGTGTGTGTGTGTGTGCGCGCGCGCGCGCGTGTGTTTATTCAAGAGAAAGAGAACAAATTTTCAAGCTTCCAATAGGCAATTAGAAAAAGGAAGACAACAATTATTTATTTGTTTTGATTGTACTCTTTAAAGATGGAAAGAAGTTTTCAAGGAAGTGAAGAAGGAATTAAAGATAATGCGGTGGATCCACCTAGTCTTATCATTTTAAGTTAAAATCATGAGCTTTTGCTTACATAGCTACAAGGATGAATTGAAACTTTCTCCACAAGCCTCTAAAAACCTTGCATTTTAAATATTAACAAGACTGTTGCCATTAGAGAAGATAAGACAAGTTGTTTATATTTTTTAATCTTGAAGATAAAGTAACATTCCTTGCACCAATACCAGCTAGCATTGATCTTGGAGATGTCAGGATCTTGGAGATAAGTGTGTGACATCCTATTTTTGCTTACATGCAGTAGTAGTCAGTTTGGAATAATTTCTCTATTTTCTAAAATATAAAATAGCTTAAATAATATGTTTGGAATTGTACTATTTGACAGCTCCATAGAACAAAAGTTTTTGTTCATGTAGGGAGGGTACTTTCTTG